CATTATAATAGCCTCTTTGCTTTTCTAGCTGCTCCCAGGAAGGCAGAGACTATGTTTGTCCTGTTGATTGCTATACCCCCCAGCACACAGCAGGTGCCCTGCCCTGAATAGGTGCTCAAGGAATATTTTTTGAAATAATGAAAGAACAAATACAAAATACAGGTAAAGTTCCTAGCACAGTGACTAGCAGAAAAATTATAATGAATATCATCATCATCATCATTACAGTTCAGTTCCACACTGAGCACATTTCTCTAATGGAAACACACTTTAAAATTCAGGTCCTGCCAATAGTGGGGTGAAACGGTGTGACAGCCCCAGTGTCTGAGGAGCTGTTTGTATGATCTTGTCCCACCCACCACCCCCAGTGATGTTGATCTGTCTCTACCCAGTCCCTGGTTCTCACCCTGACTCAGGCCTCTTTGCCCACCCCCACGCCAGGCAGGAAAGGAATATCCTTTCATCCCCCCATTGAAACTTGATCTCTGACCACAGAACCAATGACTGCTCCTTTTTCTGGAGGAGCCCCCCTAACCAGCAGCCCCACTTCCCTGGGCAGATCAGGGGTGAAAATCCCTGAGATATGCAGCCTCAGCCCACCTTGACATCACTACCAGCCTCCACTCTGGAAATGATCCAGGGCCATGGGAGGTGGGTGAGCGATCCTTCCAAAGAGCCCTATTTGCATTTCTCCAAAGGCACATATGGTTGGCTTCCTGAATTACCATGACTCCTATCCGTGCTTTGTCTCCCCTACAGGACTATGCGCTCTTTGAGCAAAGAGATCATGTATTAATAATCTTCATATCCCCCCTAAGGCCTGACATAGAGTAGAACCCCAATAATTGTTGAATGAATAAATACATGAATGAAAAAACGAGTGTGTGTATGAGCAGTCCCAGGCAGAATTGCTCATGTTCTACCTTACGAAGATGGAATTTGTCCTATTATTGAAGACATTCCTCCTGACCCTTAAGAGACTCCAGAGGCTAATAACCTTCAGAGTCAAGAGGATCATTTTTCCCTGTCTAACCTAAATTTCTCTAGATGCAACTTCAATGCATTTTCTTTTAATCAACCTCTATAGCCACTGAGACTAAGACTCATTTCTTTGCTAGGAGACAGTTACTAATTTACCCTTTAGCCTTATCTTCAACAAGTTTAGTCCCAGTGCCTTTATTGTTCCCTCCCTCGGGCCCTAGTGTCCGGCCCCTTCCCTGTTCCACTGGTCCTTGGGCCTTTGGCCAAGCTCTCAATGGCCTCTGTGGGCTGTAGAGATAGGAATGAGACACAGTGTTCTCCACGGAGCCATGTACAAACGCACAGGTAGGTGCTTACACTCCTGCCTACGCACCCAGGACGCACATCTCTCTGCACCCATAATCCCCAAGCTTTGGTAAATACATGCTCATAGGCAGCCTCCACACAGTCACAGATTAACCTCCTCCCACCTGCACCTCCTGGAGCCCTAGTGCTGTGAATTCTCACACACCTGAACTCACACTCACACACACACAAATAGATGGCACGGACCTATGTGTTTTCCCCATAGGTGAGCCAAACTAGGTGGAGCACCTGAAGCTCTCTTTCTTGTCCTCCCCCTTCTCTTCCTCCCCTCCTCCCTGCCTTCCTTCTCCAACTATCCTTTCTATTGGCCACCATGGGCCAAGCCTACTTTCTCTCCAACTCCACAGTGATTTTCCACTTCAAGGCTGAAGGTATGGAGTAAATGAACCAAAATTGGCTCCTACCTCTTCATCCTGCCCTCCTCCCATTTTTTCCCCCAGTTCCTCAATGCACCTTCCGTTTGCCCAGAGTACACACACCACTCTCCAACCCCTTCCTAACCTCCACTCCTCTGGCTGCAGGGAGCACTGGATTCGCAGGTTTTTACTTTTTAGAAATGAACAATCGGGAAGCATTAGAAGCTGGTTGCATCTCAGATCCAATGACAGGCTGGGTTGCTGAGACCCAGGGCTGGTTGAGCACTGTGTCACCAGACCAGGGGATTCAGGAACGTGAGAGTAGTGTGATATTCATTCATTCAACAAATATTTATCCAGCACCTACAACATGCCAGGCATTACTCCACATCAACTAAACCAACACAAACCTGCCCTTACAGAGTGTATATTCTATGGGTGGAGACAAAATAAATAAGTAAAATATATTGGGCATCAGATGGTGATACGAGAAAGCAGGGAAGGAGGATGGGGTGCAGGCTGAGGGTGGAGTGTGCCATTTTAAATAGGGTGTCCAGGGAAGGCCTTACTTAGAATGTAACATTTGAACAAAGACCCAAAGGAGATAAAAAAGTGAGTCATGGTGAGACCTAGAAGGGGGAGATTGTTCCAGGCAGCAGGAAGAGTCCCGCAGGTGCAGTGTTAGGAAACACCAGTGTAGAGAGTCATGAAAAATGAAGTACAAGGAGACAGCAAGAAAAGGGGGTGCCATACGGAGGAGCTCTTCCTCCTGACCCCAGGGCTGGCACCCACTCTGGGCTCCAGGGCCTGAAGGAGTGCCAGGAGAGATGAGAAAGGCCAAATTAGGAGTGAAACTGTGACCTCAGATGGAACAAAATACCTAGAAGCAAACAGAAAACAAAACAAAATTTTTGCTGGGAAAGATTCGCCCTGAGCTAACATCTGTTGCCAATCTTCCTTTCTCTCTTTTTTTTTTTTCCCTTTCTTTCCCAAAGCCCCAGTACATAGTTATATATTCTAGTTGTATATCCTTCTAGTTCTATGTGAGCCGCTGCCACCGCATGGCTATTGACAGACAGGTGGTATGGTTTTGCGCCCGGAAACCGAACCTGGGCTGCCAAAGGGGAGCGTGCCGAACTTTAACTGCTAGGCCATCGGGGCTGGCTCCGCAAAACAAAATTTTGAGGTGTCAGTGCAGGCCATTTCCAGAAGGAATGAGCTGAACCTGCAGTGAGATGAATTAAGGGGAGACATGGAGCGTCCTCACAGAGCTTGTTGGTAGATGGCAGTGGCAGCCAGAAGGCAGGTGAGCCCCATGGCTGAGCACCTCTCAAATCCAGTCGATGCTTGCCTAGAAGAGTAAGTTAGTCCAGGGACTGGAGGATGAGGCTCCTTGAACCCTCTCTGACCATGTTCAACAGGCCAGTGACGCTGCTGGGCATCACCCCTCTCCCAGCCCAGCGTCCACACTAACTCTACCTTTTTCTCCCACATTTCCATTTCCTGAGCACTTGCTATGTGTTAGGACTATGCAAAGTGCTTTCTGTATATATCTCACAAAATCCTCATAGCAACCTCCTGAGGAAGGAATTATTATTACCTTTAGTTTTCATATGAGGAACACGTCCTACCACCACACCACCTTTTGTCCCTCTCGTCCCTCTACAGCCCCACTTCTTGCTGAGCCTGGAACAGCTCACAGCCAGGTTGACCTGGGCTCAAATCCCTGTCCCTCCACTTACTCCTTACATGGCCTTGGGCAAGTTTCTTGCCCTGAGACCCAGTGTGTTCATCTGGGGGCAAAATGGGGGAAATGATACAGGAACATCCACCTTGTGGATTACTGTGGGAATGTACTGGGAGAAGGCAGTGGATCTGTCTTGGCTCTGTGACATGCTGGGTGTCTCAGAAAGTTGTGATGCATGTGGCCAATAATTTATAGCTATAAAGGGTGCAAATGGTTTGTCTTTTTAGTATAAATATCAGTGAATTCAATGTTTTCTCTGCAATCACATCACTCTCCCTCACTGGCATTCCACAAAGCCTTCCTGAATGGGAGATAAAGGGGTAGAGTGACAGATAATCCCCTGGGAATTTGCACACAGGCTGCAACCTATCTTATCTGTGCCCGGCCCGAGGGAGTGTAGCAAGCAAGCAAATACCATCTTTCCAGCAGCGTGGTGTCAGGATCAAGCTGAGAGCCAGTGGGATGATGGCTAATGCACAGCACTGGCATACAGCCTGGCACACAGTAGGTGCTTCTTGGCAGAGGGAACCACAGTGGGGCCAGGAGTTGTGGGAAGAACCTCTGAGGTTACCAACCCCTGCATAATCTGTCACCCTCAGCACAATGTGTGGCTTTCTCCTCCTAAGGAAACAGAGATGCCCTGAAGTAGAAAGGGGCACAGGAACAATGGAGGCCAGCGCCCTGGGCTGGCACCAGATGGGGGAGGGGGAGGCTGGCGCAGGGTCTCTCAAGTTCTCCCTAGGAAGACACAGGGTCTGATGGGGAGGCCATGGGGAAAAGGTGACACCCAGGAGTTGGAAACTAAGAGTGGAACATTCATGCCTGGGGCAGGGCTAGGAGCTCAGGACAACCTGACCCCAAAACTGATTATCTTGGTCCAAGGCCACCCAGCTAGACGGGAAGCTGGCTGCTAGGCTCTCCCCAGCATGCAGCTCACGGTGCGGTGCATGGGATCAACCAAGGCTTCCTCCCTCCAGCCACCACCACCTCCTCCCTGCTCATTCCCCAGCTTGCCAGTTCCTCCTCACCACGCAACCCCTGTCCCTGGCCCCCAAGCTGATCTGGCCAACTCCAACAGAGGCCACCTTGCCCCAAGCCTGTCTGAGGGGCTTCCTACCCGGATACTTGCCAGACAAAGGGCTGTGCCAACAGCCTGGCCCACCCTCTTGCAGTGGCTGAGAGGCTGTGCTGGCTGGGGGAGGGGGCCCAGCCAGAAGCACCAGGCAGGACTGCCCAATTCCCGGGGTAGGTGAGGGCTCCATCTCCCTGTGGACACTGCCCACATACCCTGCATTATGGCTCCTAGCCCAAGGGCAGCCCAAGGACAGTGAGGGTCTGTCCCTTCTCAACCCCAACCTACCCTCACCTAAACCAAGGGAGAAAGAGGATGGGGAAGGAAATCGAAGATTTCAACCTTTCGAGATTGCAACCTCAATCGAGATTGCAACCTTTCATCTTAAAGCCCACCCCCGGTACCAGTTATTGCACTCCTCATATTCCTCCCTCCCCAGCAGCGGGCTCAGTGGCCCAGACACAGCCAGAGTCCATTGAAAAAAGACAGAATTCTTTATTTAAATCAGCAAACTCAGATTCTTCAAGCCCCAGCCCACAGTGGGCAGCCCTCCCTCCCCTGTCCCCTCACCCCCACCCCTTAGCCACAGCGAGGGGAATGGAAAATGAGAAGCCAAGAGGGCCTCTGCCAGGGCAGGCGGCCGCAGATGTGTGGCGAGCGCAGTCCAGCTGTGGCTGGGGTGGCAGCTGCCACAGGCCCCTCCTTATAAATTAAGTCCCTGCAGCCACAGCTGTGGGCGAGGCATCTCTGTGGAAGGAAGGCCAGAAGGCAGCATCCCCGACCCCCAGCCAAGGAATGGATTGCGAGCACAGAGCTCGGGGTAAGAGAGGCCAGAGGGAAAGAGAAGAGGTATGGTAGGGAGGGTCAGGCCCCCAAATTTTGGTCCCAGGGGAAAGGAAGAGGCCATTGGTCCAGTTTTGGTAGGTTTGGAGAAGGGAATGTATTAGTAAGCATGGGGGAGAGGCTGCCATTGGGCACTCCCAGAAGAGACAGGCCAGGCCAGGCCCCCACCCTAGCAGAGGGGAGCTTGAGAACTCCAGGGGCTCTCAGGGAATGTCACTGCTAAAATATATATATATATTAACCATTCACAGGAGGGCAGGGGCAGGGCTGGGGGGCAGGATCAGAGGATCTGGCGTGGCATTCCGTAGCCGGTCATGCCTGCCTGAGATGCCCCGCGGTTGGTGCCCATCTGTAACCCAATCACATTCTTGCCCTCTTGCAGCTGGTTGTCTGAGAAGTTCCGAGGGTTCTCCTTGGACTTTCTGGATGGAAAGAAAGCGCTGGTTAGGAGGAGGGTGTTGGCTGCCCCAGTAAATGTCTTCCCTAGAAGAACACAGGCTTTGCTGTGGGCTCAAGTGCTGGCACCAGCTGTGCCCTTGAGAGCCTTGAACTCTCTGAAGCCACCTCCTTATCAAAAGGGACAGTCCCTTGCCATCCTGGGAGAGTTGTGAGGGTGAAGTGAGACGAGGAATGTGAAAGTGCTTTGTAAAGGGCTGGCTGCTACAGTGCATCATCGTTTCCTAGGGACCGGAATGGGCGGGGTCACCGCGCCTGCCCTGGGCTGTGCTGGGCTGGGCTGTCCCGGCAATACTCACTTAGGAAACCAGTTGGGATCCCCAGAGAAAAGCCCATCGTCCCGGGCTACCGCCAGCCCACCCAGGTTCATCAGCGTCCGCTGCACACAGGCCATGTTCTTTCCTGGGAAGGAGAAGGGGGCGTGTTGGCCTCAGCAGGGCTGGGGTCCTGGACGCCAGGGTTCCACCTCCATCACTAAGTTAGCAGGCCCAGCTTCCTAATTCTTTCACTCTTCATCCCCATACCCTCTCCATCCCAACCCCCAACATGGCCAACTGCCCCATAGAACACACACATATACACCCCTCTTCATCCTCAGGTGCCAGAAACCTGTCCATTCTCCCCAGTCACAATGGCCTAGCCCCATCTCTGATCTTCTGGATGACAGCACACAGACCCTGGCCCACCTTCCCAGAGGTCCACAGTCTGGAAGATGTCAGTGGTGTTGATGCCGTAGCGCTCAGCTGCTTGCAGGAACTGAGAGATCTGCTCCATCTGCTTGAAGGCCATGGTGGAGGCCTGGATCTTCTTCACTGGGGCCTGCCCCTCGGGGTACAGTCCGTTAATGAGCTCACACAGCACCTGGGTGAGGACGGCAGGTGTGCAGAGGTGAGGCCATGCCTACCGCAGATCACAGTGAACCAGAGGTTCCTCTCCTAGCTACAGACAGCTCCAACTCCACCTGGAGTGAGACTCAGGCTCCTTCCCACCCAGCCCCCTGCCTCGAGCCCAGAGTGAAAACGCGGCTCTTTCAGTATCACTGGCTGGAGTGCACCTCCCACAGTTCTGTCCTTAGAGCTGTTCTTCCTTGTGTCACCCAGGGCCTTCTGCTGCAGGGGAGGCACATTCACCCTCACCCTTCACTCACTGGGAGGGAGGAAAGCATGGGGCATCTGCACGATGAAGATATTCGGGCTCAGGAAGAAGTTGGGACGGGTGTGCCCTCAGTTCTTCAGGTGAAACAACCCGCGGTCCCCCAAACCCAGCCCCGCTCTCCCGGCACTTCCAGTCAGAGGGGCCCAGCTCTCACCGTGCCATCCTTGAGCCAGTTCTGGAAGTTCTCACGCCCAGGCTGGGGCCGGCCCACATCCTTGCGGCACTGGGTGGTGATCCACTGGATCAAGATCTGCTCCAGGTCCGCATCGTATTGTTTCTCAATCTTCTGCTGCACCTCCCGGCTCAGGCCGTAGGCAGGACCCCTGTTGGCCATTCTGAAGGGCGGTGGTGGCTGTAGGGAGCTGGGGAGAGGACACACCCAGGCCTGCGGTCAGCACTCTGCAGCCTGTGGGGTGGGGGGTTCTGCCTGCAGAGAAACACACCATATCCCCAGGGTGGGACCCAGAGGTAACAGCGGCCAAACGAGGGGAATCTCACCTTGACCCCTGGACATGGGCTAGAAAAGCATTGCTCAGAACTCTATGAGGTGTTAAGGGGCCACACAGGCCATCTCTGGGTGCCCCTACCTCTATGACAGGCAGTCCGTTTATTATACTGAGGCTTCCCATTCGATTTCATTTGAATGGTTCCACTACTAGAATGAAGTATCAAACCCACTGGAATAGAATATGGAGTAAATGAGGCCAAGATGGGGTTCAGCTCCTCATTTGAGGTAGTCAGCTTTAGCAAAGGCAAAGTGGTCATTCTAACCCCAACCCTGCTTTTTACAGCCCTGGGGAGGAGAGTGATTTGGGGAAAGCAGGAAGAATATGGAATGGTTTGGGAAACCTATGCCAGGAGCTAGAGGACTGGATGGATCTACCCTCAATCAGCCACTGGGTTTTAATTGAGCACCTACTATTTGTGCTAGGGATTGTGGGAGAGACAGAAGTCCTTGTTCCTAAAGTCGCCCACAGTGCCATCAGAGAGACATAGTGAGCAAACAGGAACGCGTAACGTTGTACATGACGAATCCTAAACTGCACAGTCAGACCACAGGAATTCAGAGAAGAGTATGGGATGAAGCAGCCTGGAGGGTTTCCTGGAAGAGGTAGATCTGAGTAGGCCCTTAGATTTCAGCAGGCAAAAGGAACTTCCCACGAGGAACCAGGCAATAAAAACAAATTCTACTTTCCTTTCTAGATAGATGCTGTGGTAGACAGAATAATGCCCCCCCCCAAAGGTGTCTGTGTCCTAATTCCTAGAACCTGTGACCATTACCTTACATGGCAAAAAGGGACTTTCCAGCTGTGATTGAATTAAGGATCTTGAGATGGGGAGAGTGCCCTGGATCACCCAGGTGAGCCCAGGGTACTCACAACAAGAGCCGTTATAAGCAAAAGAGGGAGGCTGGCGAGTGCGAGTGGGAGAAGTAAAAAGGAAGCAGAGGTTGAAGTGACACGGGGCCAGGAACCAAGCAATGCAGGTGGCCTCTAGAAGCTGGAGAAGGCAAGGAAACGGATTCTCCCCTAAAACCCGCAGAAGGAACGCAGCCCTGCCGACACCTCTGTTGGGGTCTCTAGAACTGTAAGATATTAAATGTGTGTTGCTTTAAGTCACTAAGTTTATAGTAACTTGTTACAGCAGGAATAAGGAACTAAAACAGGACCCTTGGGTGGTATTTTTAGGGAAACCTGGGAAGAGAGGGTGGGTGGGGAAATACGCAGGAGGGTTTCTTTAAGTTAGTTTGAGGACTTTGGTTAGGAAGAACTGCGTGGTTTCCCGACTGCTGGCCTGAGCTGGCAGCACCTCATAGTGAGCAGTCTGTCCCCACCCACCACCTCACTGCCTCGGTCCCTCACCCAGGGGCCTGTGGAGCAAGTCCTGGGAATGCTACGGATGCCAAGGGGGAGCCAGGACCAGAGAAGGGACAGGACCCCATTTCCTGCCCCCATCCTCTCCCTGGATGGGCTCTTGTTTCTGCTCTGAAATACAGCTAGCTCTCGGTGGCTCATAAAAGAGGATTCCCCCAGCACGGGCACCTGTGTTCAAGGAGAGGAAAGGGACACACTTTTTCTCCCCACATCTGGCTCCAGGCCAGGTCAGACTTAAGGGATGAAGTCACTCTGGCTCCCTCTCTCCCACACACCCCAGATTAAACAATCCCACCACCCATTCCGTGAACCTCGGGGATTGGCCTCAGTACAAGCAGCCAGGCCACAGGGACAGCAGCTGCCTCAAACCTCCTCACACCCCTCAGCCCCAGTGTTGTGTGTCTCAGGCCAGTCCCCTCCCCCACACTCCAACATGGCTGCTCCTTTCTACTCCAGCTTATCGAGCTGCACATTTCCGGCAGAGATCCTCCTCATAAATGTTATTTTTAAACCTCATTAAGAGCAACCCACCCTCAACTTCCCCCAGCCAGAAAGCCAGGGCAGATAAATGTCAGTCTGGGTCTTGACCTACACCACCAGCCACAAACACACTCAGCTGGGGGAGAGCAGGCGGGTCGAGGGGCTGAGGCCTGTGGAGAGAGGGAGGCAAGATACCCTCCTCCAGCTTAGCCACCACTCAGTCTATGTAAGTCTGTGATCCCTGACACACAGGGGTGGGGCTAGGAGACTTGGTAGAAAAGCAAGGGCGTTAGGGGCTGCTGCCACCAGTAAGCCCCTTTCCCAGCCCAATGTCCAGGCCTCTCTTCTGCGAGTAGCTCCACTACGGTCACCTGGACCTCAGGGCTGTTTCTCCACGTAGCCAAGTGGCCTGAGGCCCAGGGAACACGATGGCCCAGGGAAAGAAAAGGCAGGAGAATGATTAACCTGGACACCAGAGTTAGGAGCGGAGAGCAAGCCGGAAACCTGACCCTCCCAGCGTCCCCCATGGGCAGGATAGACTTGGCCTCCCAGACCCATCTCTGGGAGCTGGGTGGATGCTGAGTGCCTCTTCCCAACTCTGGGGCTTGCACACAGCTGGCAGTGTCACAGCCTCCAGATGCAGTGTCTCGGCTCCACTCTGGGGCCATTGCTCTAGAGACCTGAGGTGCCAGAGCCAAAGGGCGGAGCTCTGGGAAGGGCCGGCCCAGCCAGGCCCAGCCAGCCAGCAGCTGTTTCTTCTCCCCACCCCCATGGGCGGGTGAGAGCTGATGCCCTGAGGCTGCTGGAGCTGAAGCTGGCATGGCCCACCCCAGTGCCACCCAGGGGACCATCCCCTGCCCTCCCTCAAAGGAAGGGAAAACAGCCAGTTGCCTGCTGGAGTGGGAAGAAGCTGTGTGGGAGATGCCCAGAGCTGAGGATTCAAAGGGAAGACGACAGCAGAACAACTTGGGGGGTGGGTTGGCTGTGAGTAACCTAACCTCCAGCGGGAGCTGTGGGAACAGCCCTCACCCCCACCCACAAGGTTACAATAGTCAGGGAAGGGGGAGGGGCCACAAAAGGCACTCCAGCCCTCAGCCCCACCCAGACCCTGGGCTGGAAGCTTACCTCACCCCACCCCACCCCACACCACGCCAATGCCAAAGAAAAGACAGACGACAGAGTGGGGGTGGGAGGATTTGAAGGTTTGTGGCTGCAGTGTTTAATTGGGAAGACAAAGGGACTCTCCATTCATTGTGCTGACAGGACTCAGGGGAACTTCCCAACTCAGAATTGGGATTAAGACTATTCTGAAAGGGCGAAATGCCACAGGGAGCAGGCAGAAGCAAGGATGGTGGGAGACCCATGATTAAGGGGCCACCTGGGGCAGCCCCCTCACCATCAAGAGTAAGTGAGCAGAAGAGCAAGCTGAAACTACACAAACAGGAAGCCACAAGGCTTGTGCGGGAGGAGGGGTGGGGGGGGCGTTGCCATGGCTTCTGTGTACCAAACACAGGAACGGGGCAGGGTGGGGGCAATCAGGCAGAAACATCCACTCAGCACACACCAAATAGTGAGGAGGCTCTGAGCCCCGAGGGCAGAGGTGGGATCCCTGGGGAAGGGCCCCTCCCACACCCCCGCAGCGGATCTCAGGTATAGCCAGATGCAGGGGATTCCCCAAGGAGGCAGCTGTGGAGGGCATGGAAGGCATTTGGTGGAGACAGGAAGTTATAACCTTTGGGGTACAGAAGTAAATGGTTCAGGAGAAGAAGAAATGCTCTGGGAATGGAAGGTATGTTCTGAGCTAGAGAGCCCCATACCTGAAAATCCTGGAGGAGAAGGGATGGGGTGAATAAAGGATTAGAGGCCTACCCCCAGGGGGCAGAAGAGGGACTGGGCGATGGAGTGAGAGAGGGGCGTTGCAGTTGGACGAAGACTATTTGTTGGTTCTGGAAAGGTAGGGCCTGGCTGGCCCCATCCTACCTTCGCTTCCTCTGCAGTTTTAAGTCTTCCCCATGGACCAGGAAGGAGAAATTGGGAGGGGGGTTGGAGATGGGGAGCTGTCCCTCTGTCTGGTGCTCTGGAGTCAAACAGAGAATGAGGGAGGGCCCACCCAGCCACAGGTCTCCTCCTACACCGATCTCCACACAGGTCCATCCTCACTTCCACCCCTCTTCTTTCTGCTCACAGCCCCTCTTCTTTCTGCTCACAGATACTACGTTCTCCCAGAACTTTCCCGCGATGGGCTCCAGGAGGCCTGCAGAGCGAGGGAAGGCGGCAGTCCACTTCCGGTCCTGCTGGTCCGGCCCCCTCAGCCGACCCCCCTCGCCACACCCTGTGCCGTTACTGCGGGATGAGTCACCCACCGCCCGCCGCTGGGGTGACGCAGTGGTCTGGGCAGTCCTCCCGTCCGACCGCCCGCTGCCACCACCGGCTTTCCCAGCAGCAGGGGGCACGGGGTGGGAGCATCGGCTCGCGTAGGGGCAGGAGGGCTTGGAAAGCAGCCATCCCTGCCCAACACCACCTCACAGAAGCAGGGCACCTCGGGGCGCAGTCAGGACTGCAGGCTCCCAGATGCTTGAGGTCAGGGGGCTCTCCTGGAGGCGACTGCAGCTTCAACTCCCAGCCTGAACCGAGGAAGGCGAGGCCACTGTGGGACCCGCGCACGGAGCCCCCTCGCCCCGGTCCGTTACCCCGAGGCCCCAGGAAAATGAGCTGGCAGGAGGAGGAACAGAAAAGCCGGCCTCGGGGACGCAGAGGGCAGGTAGCACCCACACGTGCTCCTGGATCCAGGAAGTGAAAGGTCGCGCGGGAAGCCCGGCAGCGCGGAGCTGGCCCAGGGCGGGCGCCGGGACCCTGCACGCGCGACACTCCGGGCCAGCTAGCTAATCCCCGACGCCCTCCTTTCCTCACCCCGGCGAGGACCCTGGGCTGGAGCCGGCAGGTGGGGCGTAGTCCCTGAGTCCTTGCTGCGGACGGACGCCCTGTCTATGCACCCGCAAGGCTCGCCT